ATAAGCAAATTTGTGACAAGAAATACCATGGCACTTTGATTCTATTATCATTATATATTATGTAATTTTTTAAATATACAATGGTATTGCATGATTATTACTCTCATTTACCGCGGTAATCCAAGGTACATATAAAAACAAGTTACCTGCAATACAGAGTCGTCACAAGTTGCACGTGCAGATGTACTCGCAGATCTTTTTTGCTCGTGTGTAAACTGTGTCGTAAAGCATTTTTTCCCCAAACAAGTCCAGTACTACAGTACTTAAGTGAGCTGATTCAAACGAATCGAATTCATACTCGCATGCTAAATCTCGAAATACAGATTCAGACAGTTTTGCTAACCGCAATGGACAGAAACACTGCAAACAACTGACGCAAAAGAATAGTTCTCGAATCGGGCATCGGTAGTTCTGATTCTATTATACAACCAAAATGTTTCCTATGCTGGTATACGGTTATTTGCCTCGTCCGATAAGGTGTTTTTTTTTTTTGGCCCATTTTTTTTTCCGACACAGTGATTTCAGGAAAACTCACAGTGAATCGCGAACCGATTCAAACTTTGCGAAAAAGAACCGACTCAAAAGAGTGATTCATTCTCGAGTCGGGCGTTCGTGATTTCTGTTTGTAAACATTTGACGGAAAATAGGGACCTGGGGCCCGTTCTTCGTACGTCGCTTATTACATCCGAGATGAAATGTCACATCCAAGATGATATCATCGCGTTAATCAGAATCTATTACATGATTCCCAATTATTTATAATCACGATTTCTAATATTTGTACAGGCTTTACATTTTAATTTCAATTTAGTAATTAGCAATTCATTTAATTTTATATTTGAACAGTTTCAGCAAGTTAAAGTTTCTTAAGGGTCAAGATCATGTTATCTGCATCTCCTGCGCTCCGTCAAACCACTCCCATAATAGCTGTCATCACTCAAATGAATGCACGACTCTACATTATCTGTATGTCACATCCAAGATGATATCATCGCGCTAATCAGGATCTGGCTAATTCGGTTCTTGGAACGCACCTGTTGTTGATGATTAGTATGGCTGGATTGAGTTATCTGAGATAATTGCGCGTTCATGGGTCGGTTATGTATCGATACTTGAAACCACGATCAGCAATGCAGCGATTGGCTGGCGGCAAGACAGCAACGTAATGACATCATATAATTAAAAAAGACACCTGACGAAAAACTTGACAAATTTTTGGACTTTTATAAGGAAACAGCCAAGCGAACAAAACTACATAAATGTTATAATAGATAAATGAAATGTGCACTGTTTTTATTTAATTTTTTACATGATTCCCAATTATTTATATTCACGATTCCTAATATTTGTACAGGCTTTACATTTTTATTTCAATGTAGTAATTAGCAATTCATTTAATTTTATATTTGAACAGATTTGTTACGTGACAGCATTAATTAAAGTTTCTTAAGGGTCAAGATCATTATCTGCATCTCCTGCGCTCCATCAAGCCACTCCCATTATATATGTCACCACTCAAATTAATGCATGACTCTACATTATCTGTATAGCATGTGTGTAAGACTCGAATACAATTATGAAGTAATAATTTTATGACGAATAAATCTTTCAGTGAGTAAAACTGGCTGTGTCTATAGTATTAAAGACTACACAACATTATTATATTATCTTTAAATTAATTTTTAAATGATTATTATTTTAAATTATTGTCCCTGGATTAGTAGGGTACTCTTGTAATAAAGTAGCGGTGGTAGAGGACAGGTTTTAAGTATCAATTCTGCTTAAAAAGATGCAATCTAATCCTGTTTACATGAAATAAGCCTGCTCCCGAGCAGGTTTAAGTTTACGGACCTGTTGCTATGACAGCAACTCCGGGATGAGCTTCCAAGAACCAAACAATCCAAGATCACGCCAAATCATCAACAATCAAATCCAGCTAACTGAGTTAGCGACGTACGAAGAACGGTCCCCTGACTGGGACATGATTTCATTAAAATATCGTCGAGAAAAACGTTTCAGGTTGGTATAAGGTAATTTCTCATGTCAAAACACTGACTTATTAGTATCATTTTACTGTGGTAGGACACGCAAAGAACAGTTTGTTAGCACGTTTGGTGCGCACCCGGGTTCGATTGACGTCTGAGTTCGGTACGTTTGGATGATGTGAACGCTGTCTTCCGAATTCGGGTGCACACCCGCGAACCGTACCCGAGTCCGCTTAAGGGGCGTACTGTGAACTCCTGTACGCAATCGTACCAAATCGCAGAAGTGAACCGCTATTAATGGCGTATTGTTTGATAAAAATGTGTGTGTGTGTGTCACTCCATTTTCCTGTCGAGCGTGAGCGCGCTGCATATATCATTTCTGTACGTCTTCAGCGTTCTTTAGAGCATTTGCAGTAACGTTACCGTAAGACAGACGTAAGTGCCGTTATGTACTGAAGCTTTGGGAAAAAAAACAACGGTTAAAAAACATAAATATAAAAGTGAAAATAGCAATGCTAAGCCTTCTCCTGCGCCTTCGTTACTAAGCAACGGGATAAACAGCTGCTGGCTTGATGACGCAAACGACCCGCTGTTCGGACCTAAATAAAATAACATGAACGCAGGCCAGCGGGGGCAGGGGGAGCAATCAAACTCCGGTTCGGACCAGGCAATCGAACCATTAGCTTGGTAAAGGGGCGTTCACCTACCTTCTGCATATAACGCTAAAATAATAAGCGTTTTAACATAAGCATATAAATACCACCTTTAAAAAGATGTTAAATACCCAATGAGATTATATCAAATGTAATAAAACAACAAGGCATCTCGTGCATCAATAATTTTAAACCTGATAATAACTGATAAGTCATTAGAGGTCCATAGGAAGGGTGCAAAGAAACACCTGCCATACAAATATGAGATAAATAACGAGTGCTAATATTAATAAAGCTAATGATGCTTGACAGATCTAGGCTAGCACAGCTCCCTTAGCACGAAGTCTCTGGCAGAGGATTGGGAAGCTCATTGGATGTGAAGAAATGAGGGATAGAGGTGGACAGAGGGGACGGTTTAGGGTTTAGTGAAGAGGGATAGAGAGGGCGAGCAAGACAGAGTGGGGCTGTGGTTAATTAGCAGTGACAGTTCCACAGTTGGTCCAACATTGGTTCAGACAGCTGCAGGCTGCTGCCAGCTATACCAGTGCCACATGTTGCCATTCTCATTCTCTTCATTTCCATCTAGATAGATCTGTTCCTCCCATTCACTCACTCAGGTGTTTCTCTCTCTCTCTCTCTCTCTCTCTCTCCAATGTTGTGTAATTCTAAATGGGTGATTTTTTTTGTAAATAAGCGCTTTTGTAAATTACAAAAAAAAAATTCTTAAGTTCAAGTTCAAGTTGCTTTATTGGCAGGACAGTATTGCCAAAGCATTTTAAGTATATGTAAAATACATAATAATTACAGCACCAATGTAATAAAGGAGACAATAAATGAGTAATAAATAAATGCAGACAGTATCTTTAATATTAATTATAACAATTACAATTATGCACAATAAAGAATATGTAAAATAAACCAAATTAATACAATGGATTAACCATTTCGTATGGTGTGCATGGTGTACACATATTTTGCAGCTAGTTTGGCTGCCATGTCATCCTCTCCAAATATATAGCGGAGTTTCTCTTTTTCGTCATTTAGAGTAAAGAATGAAAAATTCAGTGCTGCAAATTGTGGAAAAAAATATGTCCCTTGTAGTGGTGTACTTGGGACAGACAAGAAGAAAGTGTTTCTCATCCTCTATTTGATTCAGGTCACAGGGTTTGCATTGTCGCTGTTCTCTACGTATCCAGGATTTTTTATGTCTTCCATTCTCTATTTCTAAGTCGATATTTTGAAAGAATTTGTCTTTCTTTTCTTGTTTCTTTCTTTTCTTGTCTCTCTCTCTCTCTTTTTTTTTTTTTTTTTGACCATCCAAGAGCACAAATCCATTGAAGAGTTAAGGGAAGGAAAGTCTGGATTCAGACTTTATTCATTTGTGTAATCACAATGACTTCTTGTTCTGTGGCAAAAATTCCCACATTCAGCTGAATGCAGTTGGAGTGGTAGATATGCAGAAGGCAGCAAAAATATTTAAAGATAGCTCATCTTGGATACCAGGAAGAAAAGCATTTTCGTGTCACTTTTGTTATAAATCATGAATTGCAATGTGAGAATCATACATAAGAATGTTATGGAACACAAAAGTATTTAGCTGAAATAAAAAAATCCTTTCATAAACTTAATATATCTTATTGAGAGGGAAAAAAATAAAGAGAGAGAGAGACAGGCAGAGCTCCTCAGTGCTGTTATTATTAATAATGAAAGCTAATGCTAATGAAAATAATGCTAATTAAATGTAAATAAAAAAATATAAATGTTAAATTAACTTAAAATCAGAAATGCTGCCTTGGAATCTAACTGAATATAAGTTTAAGTAAAATTACTTAAACTAAAACTGAAATCAATTTAAATGAAAGTGACATAAATATAAAAAAATAAAAGAAATGTTAAGCACATCACAAAATTACTAAAACTTAAAGTTTTAGAGTTTGGTTTGCATTATAATAGTATTATAAATAATACTAAAAATACTAAAATAACACTGTAAATAAAATGAACATAAAATAACAAAACTAAAATAACATTTCCATTTGTCTTTCTGAGGGGCCTCACAGATTGAAGACCCTGACAGACACTGGCCACGTTCACACAGCAGCAGAATACTGTTTTCAATCCCAAAAATTGACAGTGTGAACGTAGCCACAGACTGGGGCCCGATCCATAATTCATCCTTTGTTACTTGTTCTTAAAACAAATTAACACAGTTAAATTATGGTTAATGTAAACTAAGTAAAGTGAGTAATTTTTCATTCTGTTTTATAATAGGCCGTAACATTGACATATTGCACCACATGCATTTTTCTGCAGTGTTTCTCTTTTACCACTGACAACTCGGTTTTAGTGGCTGCAGCCGTTTTAGTTTTGCTTTTCATTTATTATAAAACACATTCAGACGCAGATTCAGAACGACTGTCGCCCAGTTTAAAACTACCAACGTGTCTTCACTGCGCCTAGAACTCCTCCATTGTCACCAACGAAGCTGACAAAGGCAGCGCCCAGTCGCGTCGCGTCGTTCCTCTGATGTCCGTGAATACTTCCTGGTCCAAAGTTGTGTGTACACAAATCAAAGTCAGTTGAGCATGTAGTGGGATGGTGAACTCACATTACGGAAATACACTTCAACGGACACACACACTTCTGTAAACTGAGGGACAGAGAAGAGAAGTTAAATAATTCATTCCTCAGTGCTGACGCTTTGCAAACATGATACGAGCAGATGAACATCATTTACGCAACGGAACCCTGAAGTCTCATTCTGACCAGAAACAACAGGGAAGCAACAGTTTGAAAAATGGATATCACGCAACTGAAAAGGTAAGTCCAAGTCCGTCGCTTCTGCACAATGCGTCAATTTAAACGTGTTATTTTAAAAATGAAAGTTACAATACAAGGGGTGATTCTTAAGGCTGACTCGAGTTTAGGTCCGATTCATTTCAACGAATCGGTTCGTTCAGATAGTTCTTTTAATGAATCCCTTCGAAAGAACGAGTCACCAGTTCGTTAGTCATCACTTAAATATGTTTAAACTCCATGCGCGATTTTGGTAATGAAATAGATGTTTACTCTTATGAAAATAGTTGCATTATTAACCATATAGTTTAACTAAAATTTGTATTTGTAACCACAGTCAAAACACTGGTGGATTGGCTTCTCTCTTAATTTAACTGGTTTCAATAAAATGGTATTTTTATATACTATGGTATTTGTCATTACAAGTGTCATATTGGTTATGAAAGATATTACTTAAGCAAACTTAGAAATTACATTTATTATTAAATTATGTAAATAGAGGTCTTTAGTTTATGTAGTAGCCTATATGTTTGAATGTCATTTATCTATTAAATTGCAGTGGAATTAAAATAATATTTGAATATAACTTTTGGATTATAATGTTTTGTCAATGATATTTTAGGTGCAGAAAAATGGCAAGGGAGACGGTTTTCATCAACCTCGAGTTAGGGGTGAGGATTCATTTGAGGAGGCCCCCATGTGCGTGGCTGTCCTGACATACATGGGTTATGGAATCGTCATCCTGTTTGGCTATTTCAGGGATTTCTTAAGAGCTGTTGGCTTAGAGAAGTGCCATCAGGCCCAGGAGAGAGAAGAGCAAAAGGTAGAGTCACTCTCCATCTAGCATATTTCTCAAACTGTGGTAACCATCATGTGAAGAAAAGTTAGTATGTTCCAGTTTGTCTTGTTCTAGTTTTCATACACTCTGGGAAGAAAATATTGTTTTATGATTATTTTTAGCTTTACCTCATGTAAACCCTCCACTGATTGGTGGAAGGTTTTTTTTAATTTTTGGATCAGAATAACAACTTTCTGTGTGTCTATAAATGGCAAATATTCAGAGAGTTACATACTTAACATTTGGAAATAATAACTGTAAAAAGATGAGTATTTGTTAAGACAAATTTATTGTCAAACACAAAAGTGTTTTCTTTCATGTCATGTAATTTACACACTGTTCACTATGGAAAATCTCTATGATATGTGTGAGGTGATGCCAGGGAGGTTAAAGACGCAATTAAACCCCAAAGGAGAGTGGGTTCATTATTTCTGCTCACAGTCTGTCCACTGAGAATGCCGCCTTCACAAAGATGTCTCTTTCATGCACATTTCTAACTCAAAGCTGGTGGCATTACATTAGATGTGATTATTCAAAGGCATAAATTGAGTTTTTTGAAGTTTAGTTGACAAGATTATGAAACGGTAAGCTTTCAGAGGGAGTCGCACCTTTAGCAAACTTAAATGTTTACAATTGTGAACACATTGTGGATTTCTGCTCTGTGCTTGCCATGTTTTCCATGATCAGTGTGAATCACCTCAGCCAAATTGGCAGTGTCTAAATCTTCTGGGCAGTTGTGGATTAATGGTTAGAGAGTCACACTTGTAGCCCAAAGGTCGCGGGTTCGAGTCTCGAGATTGTGGGTGGGGTGGGGGTGAATGTAGAACGCTCTCTTCCACCATCAATACCACGAATGAGGTGAGACCCTTGAGCAAGGCAACGAACCCCCATCTGCTCCCCAGCCGCCGCAACAAAAATGGCTGCCCACTGCTCCAGGTGTGTGTTTACGGTGTGTATGTGTGTTCACTATTCACTGCTGTGTGTGTGCATTTGGATGGGTTATATGCAGAGCACAAATTCCAAGTACTTGGCTACACGTCATGTCACTTTCACTTTCATTTCTAAGCTAGCTCTAATCTGTAAAGTACACAAATCAGTAAGAAGTGAGTGTAACAGACTTTTCAGTGAAGGAATGCTGATACAGCACCGATTAATATCCGATGAAAATAAATATATGAACTGGAAAAGAACTGGTTTTACTTCAGCACTGCACATTTCACAGAGTGTGCTTGATATGTAGGCCCATACACTCCATTAGCATTTAAGAGCAAAATTTACATGTGACTTCAAATGATCTCACAGCATTTGTGTTCTCCCTTTTCCTGTTTAACAGGGGTTTCTACATTGCCGTTTAAGTCACACACCAGCAAAGCTTTAAACTGTGTACTTTGTGTATTCTTTGTGTTAAATGAGAACAAAATAAGTCTATGAGAATCAGTAAGAGCACAGTTTTTTGTTTAAGCTTTCTTGGTGTCTTAAGAGAACGCTTTGAATGTGTGATCTGAAACGCTGGGCAAAGAGCAGACACCTCCTCAGTGACCAGAAAAACTTATGAGTGACAGTTAAAAGCTTAAGCAAAACTTGTAAAAGTCAGGTGGCAATTTGTTGCGCCTTTGTTATTTTCTGCTGTCTTAATTGTCTTTTGAGCAGTTCAAAGAAGTTTAATAAAGGCAGCACAATGAGGATTCTGATTAGACTCTCCCTTGTTGTTTTGGAGTTTATTTAAGGACAAGATGTGGGTGAGTCTCTTAGGACTCTGATACTCACAGAGCAGATGGTTTTGAAACATTCACCCAGTTGTAACTACCCACGTGCAAATAGTGTCTTTTTATGGCTGATCTTGGGTCAGCCGTGCCTAATTTTTTTATGAATAGGGCATATTGTGGAGGGTAAAGCACAAAATACTAATGTTAGGTTGTTTTAAAAGTGCTTATGGTCATTATGTTGTAACTGATTTCTTGTATTACAGGACTTTGTTCCCCTTTACCAAGATTTTGAAAACTTTTACAAACGGAACCTGTACATGAGAGTCAGGGATAACTGGAACCGGCCTATATGCAGTTTACCCGGTCCGGTTTTTGATATCATGGAAAGGGTCTCAGATGATTACAACTGGACTTTCAGGTAGGTCTATGCTTTGCATTAAAACAAATAGTCATGACCCTGTTGAAAAGACCAGGATATGTTTTAGGTGCCGATTCCTGCAGGATGTTTGTGTCCTTGCAAGGATTCTTAACTAGCGTAACCAGCAAGTTGGTCAGCCAACTTTTTGGACCAGCACTATCAAGTGAGAAATATATTACAGTATGATATTATATACTATTATATGATACTATATACTAACATATACTATTTTTTTAATTAAAGTATTAAAGAAATTTATAATTTTATTCTCTTATAATACTTTCACCAAGGATGAACTACATTAATAAAAAGTGGCAGTAAAGACTTTTACCGAAAGATCATGTGACACTGAAGACTAGAGTAATGTATGCTGAAGATTCAAGCTTTTCCATCAAAGAAATAAATTGCATTTTAAAATATATTTAAAGATAATTATTTTATATATTTAAAAAAAGTTATTTTAAATTCTAAAACTATTTCAAAATATTAATACTGTTTTTACAGTTTTTCAATCCAATAAATGCAGCCTTGGTGAGCATAAGAGACAACTTATTTCAAAAACATTAGAAAATCTTACCCACCCCAAACCTTTGAATGGTAATGTATATGAAAAAATATTAAAGTATCATTTCATTAGGGTAGAAATTTATTAATATTTGATAAACTAATATGTTGTGTCAGTTATATGATTATGGCTCATTTTTCCTATTTTGTTCTGTCATTTCGGTTCATGTTATTCACTTTTTCTTTTAATGGCTGCACTTACTCACACTAACTGCTGCTTTGTAATACACACTCCTATATTATACCCATTGATTTCAGTTCCAGCCTGGAACAAGAAAAAATTGTCAGCAACTTGGTTGATGTGTTACTCCTCTGACAGGTTAACAGGGAAAACCGTTGAGAACGTCATAAATATGGGCTCCTACAACTATCTGGGTTTTGCTGAAAACAATGTCGACTTCATGAAAACCGTAGCAGACGAGACCAGACAGTACGGGGTGGGCGTCTGCAGCACAAGACAGGAACTAGGTATGTGTGTGGCTACACCGCAACCGAAACACATCTACAAAAACAGAAACAGGTTCAACAGCATCCAACATTGTTTGCGTAAGAACAAGCATATTAGGTTGTTGAGCAACTATTTTGGTTTAGTTAATGCCATCATTTACCTGTCTAAAGCATTTTTTCCACTTGCGATCAGACCTGCTTTGAGCATTGTTCATAGAATTCCTTCTTCACAAATACATGACAAGTTTTTTTTTTTCTCTCTGGGTGATTTATTAGATAGATTGATAATTTATTTGTCCTCAGAGAGGAAATTCATTTTCACAGAAGGTGCGTATACAACACAAGGACAAGTACCCATTATGTACAAACTTGTCACAATACATTCACGAACAAACAAAAAAAAAAAAAGGCCCAACCTGTTTTTGAATTTGCAGCGCAAGTTGATGATTGACTGAACTGTTTCATATCTCTCTCTACAGGTTTATTACATGTGTTGTGATTCATTCAATGACCCATAATGATCTTCCTCATATTTCCATGCTGAAATATATTTGAATCTATTTTAGGTTAAAAGCTAGCTTGTTTGCACTAAGGCTAAAAGGTGAAATGGTTATCTGGGTGCATGTAATTTTTTTAAAGCACTCATGTTAAGGTTCCTACAGTGATAGAAAACCAGGCTTGTGATTTCCAGGCTTGAAAAAGTCTGTAGTGAATATATATATACATATATATATATATATATATATATATATGTATTTTTAGCTTTATTAATGCTAAGCTCCAAAACATTTAATCGGTTATGAAATTACTCTTTGTGAGTTCAGTCTCTTTAAAATGAATTTTAAAAATGATTATTGAGTAATCACAAACAACTTCCATGGAAATTCATTGGTAAAATGGGAAGGAAATCCTTGCTGGTGGTTTAAAGATTAAACCTGTTCAGGCACAGTTGTAAGTACTTTGGTGTGACGGATGTTCTAGGATCTGGTTATTCTGGTTTGTTGAATGTCACATTTTTCAGCTGCTTCATGACTGTTGCTACCTGTTCTAACGTTAGCAAGGCCGTAAAACATCCCGTGAGCACAGTCACGTTAAGTACACATGACAGTAAACCTGGAAATATTTTGGTCACTGTTTTATTTCACTTTTTCTCTGTCACAACTTTTCAATCTCCTCCTCTCGCTTACACAGTTACACAGTAAAAATACACACCCCTCTTAATGATATAATTGTGTCATCAGATATCAGATCATTTGCATTGCAAAGTAGGTCATCTGAGATCTTTTATTTTGCGGTGCTATGCAGTGACAGTGGTGAATCTAAACCAAATACCACATCAGAAACAGACACAGAAAGAACATGTGATCATGAGGCATGGGAGTATTTGTGTGTAAAGTCGTATCATTCATTATTCATTTGAGGGATTCATTTATTTTTTTCTGCATCTCTCAGAGGTTGTCGTTGCTTTTGGATATATTTTTGCAGGCCCTCTGTAAAATGAGCAATAACAACTAACCCCACGACTCCTTATTAAGATGCAGTTCCTAATTAGACGCCTGTGTATGTATGTGCGTATTAGGAATGGGCATTTTTAAATCATTTTGTAGAACTCTAAAACATAAAAATGAGTAAATGATTATTTGAAAATTCTTTATTTTATTCACAAACATCACATCACCAGTGTTTTAAAAAAGTATAAAATAATAATATATAAATTATACATTATGAAAAAGTAAATATATGAAATGTGCAAAATATGAAATAATAAAATAAAGTTTATATTTATAGAAATAAAGATGTATAAATAACTTCTTCTTTTTTTTATTCAAATGAAAAATATTAATTAATCTTGTTTTACTTAGTGTTTTACTAATGGGAGATTTGGATTTCTGAAGATGTTGTTGCATCTCCCTGGTTACATTAGATTACTATTTTACAGATAACCCATGTGATGTTGGGTAATATGTTTTTAACTATAACATTACGGTCATAGTTGACAGCATATTTTTGTTCCGACTGCAAGATCAATAAGGTCCGTGTTTGTTTTTGGTGATAGGTTTTAAGGCTGATGCATCAATCATTTACAGAAATTCTGCCTGTAGGATTGTCTTTGTGTCCTTAGAATTCATTATTGTGTGTGTGTGTGCGTGTGTGTGTGTGTGTGTTTTCAGTCACCATGGACTATTTAAATGTACAAAGAGTTTATAGGTTTAACATTGTTACAGCTGCCAAACACTAATATCACTGAAGCACGTGGCACTCAAGTATGAGTTGACAACATAATGGGCCATCTAAGTGTCACATTTGCATTGTAACAAGAGCTAAATGTTTCACCATGATGATGTGGGTGGCAAATGTTGTTTGCTACACTATTTTCCTATGAGACAAAAGTTGTCTTCCTCTAGAAGTTTCTCAAGTGGCTTATAAACCAGAATATTGGAATGTGAAGCTTGAAATGTGATGTTAATTATCTCATATGAAAATGTGTCTGTTATTTAAGCTGTGATGCTGTGTAAATCATCTTTTTACGGTTTGGACTACTGTTTTAGGTTGATAAACCTGTTTACAGGTTTAAAAATGTTGTTTAAAAAAGTACAGTGTTTACTGATTTTAGATAACATTTTAGATAGTTGAAAATTTGTATATGACTTTACACAGACAGGATTAATAAAAAAACTTTATTATATTAGTCTCATGTTAATGTTTAAAAGTATATGTTATAGTATAATATGTTAAATAGTATGTTAGTATTTTAAAGTACATAAGTTTACCTGTATGTAATGTTTATTCCAGCGCAGTGCCTTGTCCCACTTTCAATGTAAGTAGTACTGTAAACATGATTTTCTGTGGTAATCTGTGGTCACAGATGATGTTGTTCAGACTTAATTTGTATTTAACACTGAATGTCGATACAGTTTTCAGAGACGTTCCCATTCATTTAAATACAATTAGGTTAAGATGCTTTGAGAACTTGCTGTTTTATGGGCAGTTTCTGCTTGTGTAGGTGAATGAGCTCTTCATGGGTCTCTCTCTCATTTCTCACTTCATTAGACTACTACAATACCCTGGTTAGAAGTCAAGACCCTTATGGGTTTCCTTCTGTAGAGAGAGCTTCTCAGTTATCACATTGAAGTGCAGTGTAGTCGCCCGACCCTGATTCAGGTTTAATCAAACACATCACACTTCAGCTGCCACTGTGAGAGGGAATGATTGGAGGTCTGGAGTAATCAATCGTGTTTTAGAGAACAAAGCTCTCTATAGGAATCATGTAAAAGGAGAGGTGTTTTCTCACGGTACAACCACTCGTGACTACTGTCTTATTCATTGGGAAATATATCTTTAGCCAGAATTTCTTGCTTAAAGCTATTAAACATTTCTAACTTTCAGACCATTATGGTATTTTTGGCACTTTGATGCACAAGAGGGGTTCATGGGATCAGGAAATGATGCCCACATAAGCACCGTGGCTGAGCATGCACATTAACATGGCTACAATTATATTGTGTTTTAAAATTTGTTAATTTATATTTGCATGGATGTGTTTAGAAATTGTGCATGAACGGGATGCAGAACCAATTCAAATCGTTCATCCAAAAATGAAAAATCACCCTCATTCACCCAATTAATTTACTCGCCACCGTGTCGTTCCAAAACTGTATGACTTACTTTTTTCTGTGTAACTTAAAAGAAGATATTATGAGAAACGTCTTAGTGTTTTTGTCCATACAGTGGAAGTCAATAGTCATCAAAACGGTTTGGTTACCAAAATTCTTCAAAATATCTTCTTTTGTATTCTGCAAAAATGATGACAATTCATTTTTTGGATGAACTCTCCCTTTAAAGTGAGTCAATTTCTGGATTTTTCTCAACAGTCGTGTTTAGAAGTGATAACTTCTGTCTTTAGGGCCTGTTTATTTGGGTCTTCAGAATGTAATGGCATTTTATAGTATGAATGAATGAATGATGTATTTATATGAATGAAGTAGTTATAAATAGTAGTAATAAAAAACACTTTAGAGATTTATGGCACATATCTATAGCCGATCGCTCTATCTATATTTAACCTTTAAGGCACTTTGGGTCACATTTTATCTCACACTATCAGATGTTCTGTTTGTTTTTGTCTTCTTGACATTTATGTACCAACATTATGGTAGTATTTCATGTCTGCAGTTATGTCTTTAGTCTCTGAAGGCACCTACTGAGTGATTAATAACCTTTCACCTCGCATGTTCTGACAGATCTCATTTGTTTCCTCCATGCTGACCCTGTCTAAGCCTCTAAAACTAGAAAAGCTAAAGGAGGCATGCAGGAAAATCTAATTTCCTTCAAAGCTGTTGGAACACCCAATCTGGGAAAGACTGTGGTCTAATGAATTCTTAAAGTGTATATCTGAGCTTTCTGTCAACAGTGGTGTGAGGCATTTTTTTCTTTCCTTCTGTGGCCCTCATAGCATTAAGCTAAGCTAAAGATGTTTTTACCAAAAGCTTGTTTAATATCCATGTAAAGTAAGTAAAATAAATAAGAGCAGAGAGGGCTACTTTGATCTTTTTTCAAAATGCTTCTAACTCTTGTTCACTGTCCTGAATGCCTTCTTTCGTGGATATGGATAGTAGTGGCCTTGGATTTTATTTTGATTTTATTCAAAAACCTCCTCAAGGTATTAACAATCTCAAGAACGGATTCAGTCTCTCACTTTTTCTCACAAATCACTTTCTTCTTCAAGAACAGTGGTCTTGTGGTTAAAGAAAGCAGTCAGCACAGTTGTTCCGGACATTCTGACCTGTGACATTTCCTGCTCCCGTTTAGTGTAATGAAAAAAGTCCAAAGAGATTCTTGTAAAGTCATTTTGATAAAGTGTCAGCTTAATAATACATTTCTTTATCTTTTTAATAGGCAACTTTAGCATCCATGAGAAACTGGAGCGACTTGTGGCGGAGTTCTTGGGGGTGGAGTCTGCAATGGCGTTTGGAATGGGTTTCGCCACCAATTCCATGAACATTCCGGCACTAGTCGGAAAGGTCAGCGTTTAAAAATTAATCTTAAACGGTGTCTCTTTAATTTTTACATCTGTCTTAAATCCCTCAGTTTTATCTGTTGAAGTGAACTCACAAGTGTGGTATTAATCTATTATCCCTGGGCGCCTGCAATTACTTGCTACTATAAACAGTTTTTCACACACCACAGAATAACCCAATGAACCAGCACACTAAACAAACCCTTGTTAAAAGTAATGCCCAATCAGATAAGCAAACACAGTTAGAACTGACTGTTTGTTTAGGGTGTCTCATTAGGGTTTGTTTATGATAGTCTCAATGATGTGGTCAGTCATAACCAGCTCAGATGAGAAGACCTCAGGCTCTAGATGAGATCCAGAGAGCTAGGGGAACAGCAACCAGTTAGATTGCGTTAAGGGGGATGTTTTTCCTCAAGGAAAGTCTTCATGATGTTGTGCCATGGAGGTATTGGTTAAGCAGTGGGTCCAACAACTTATGCCTTCTGGAGGAGGTGTCAGTTCAAGGCCTCTCAAGGTGAAGAGGAGATGACAGCAACCATTGTTGAATCAGGCCATGCTCTGCAGCTATTGAGACTTTGTCATCCAGTTCACATTAGAAGATCCAAACATTAAGAAGTCCAGTTTATTTTAACAAAAAAGCACGGTGACACCTAGTAAAACTAGGGATGCGGGTTCTATTCCCAGGGAACAAGTTTAGTCATAAAATGCGCTAATTACTCAGTAGTGTTCCCAGAAGTCCTTGTAAAACATTTATGTCTTTGTAGACTAAATATAAGGACTTAATTTGCAGGGAGGGTGGGACATTCGCTTTCAGTGCTATCAGGCTAAAGTTAGCATTTTCCAAGATCTCCTACTGCACCTTTAAGATTCAATGACAGTAAATGAGGGAGAGAAAAGAAATAGATAAATAATCAAATAAAATAAGAAAAAACGATGAAGAGAATGTTTTATCATTTGTAGCTCTATTTTATTCTTTTATTTTCACTCTTTATATTGTATTGACATTTATATTGTAGTAGTGGTTATTTGTGATATTTCTGAATGGACCCTAACAATATTATTCCACACATCGTGTTATTGATGGATTCCTGCTTTAAAATGTGTTCAGAGCCGTGCAGTAACAATGTCTGTTTCCAGGGCTGCTTGATCCTGAGCGATGAGCTAAATCACACATCCCTCATCCTGGGAGCCAAGTTGTCGGGGGCAACCATTCGAGTCTTCAAACACAACAGTGAGTACATATTCAAAATATTATGAAATTCATATCCACTAGGTCACGGTGTGTTCAGTTATACATGCAACTGCTC